TTACTAAACCCACAGCAGTAAAATCAGTCTGTATATGCAGTAAATAATGCTTGATATACTCACTGTGGAACCTAAGGGGTTAATCCTCTGCATTGTGCAAAAATGCTATTTGATCCCAACTTCTCTGATCCTGCCCTTTTTTCAGTGATTTCTCTATTTTCTTATCTACTAATAAGACATATCGTGTGAAGACACTCTGCACATGGATAGTTTGGTGTGTATTGCTAGAGGTGTCTTTTTTTTTTTTTTTCTTGGGAGAGTGCATGTGATCAGCACAGGGCTAATCAGCACTATCCAGACAGAGGTCAGGCATTCTGCATCTTCCTAGAGTAGAAAGAAAACTCCTCCTACAAGCTGTAACCAGTGCTCTACTGAACAATGATAGAAGTCACAAGATTGCTCTAATTGCTGAGAAAAGGTATTTAGCAGGTTATATTTACTTAGATAATTGCATTTCTATGTTCTGTGTACTGTGGGAGACCAGATAGAGTGAATGCTGGTTCATGAGTCTAGTAACACTTTAAGTTGTGGAATTAATTTAGAATAAGGCACCATGACTAGTAAATTCTAAAAAAACATGGGAAAAAAACAAAACAGAGAAATGAGAGTCAAATTGTATAGAAATAATATAATTCTTGGCCCTGGCCCAAACAGAATATTTTATATGTGATCAGAGAAGGAAGATGGGACGAGCACTATGGCTGCCCATCTGATCATAGGAGCTGGAGTAAGTTAAGTATGGGATTACAGTACATGTGATGAAGGGATATCATAGAACAAAATAAGGAAAACTAATTTCAGTAGGAAAACTTTGAAGAGTGTTAAAAGAAAGTGAGAGAATGATATGATTTGCACGTCTTGTGCAAAAAATTGGAAGAATGTAAGTGAATTTTGAGAGATGATCGTGTATGTGTGTGAATGGGTGTGCTGGGCATTTTGGTCCTACAATTTTTTGTGTGTTTTGTAGGTCTGTGCAGATTCCCCCCGCCCTCCTTTTCTCTTTCCCATGAGAAGAATGTGCTAGGATGAGACATGACAAGGACACAACCATTGATATGACTACGAGTTTTCATAACGTGTCGGCTTAATTAATCTGATACACAATGTGATTACAATAATCACAGTAAAATGAAGGTTAAATTTAAAAGTACATATAGTATAAAATAACAAATTAAATATCTTTTGATAGTGGAAACCGTGCATTTAAAAAATTGAAATGAAGTGTTCAATTTTATTAATGATATAGATATATTTTAATTGGTTTAGACAAACTTTAGTTGGCTTATTATTATTATACAGGATGTATATAGCGCCAACAGTTTGCACAGCGCTTTACAATATAAAGGGAGACAATACAGTTACAAAAAAAAAAAAAAAAAAACAAGAGTATAAAAAGGGCCCTGCTCATAAGAGCTTACAATCTAATAGGGTGGATATGGGGTTACTTTAGGTTAACATGAGGTGGTTGTATTGCATGGATGGAAATACATGAGAACTTTTTCTATAAAACTGAAAACTAAAGGTCTTATAGTAACTTGATGTGTGGTGCATGATGTAAGAGTAGTATAGAAAATTGCAGAAACATCTCACCAAGCCCACACACCCCGTTAGGATAGAAGCCACATGCAGCCGACTGTTTTATAGTTTTTTGATCTGGCTAATGATTTTTCTCTTTTTTTCATATACATATTGTTGGTACTTTTTGTTTTTATTTATTTTTATTTCTGAATCCAAAGCAGAATGTGTGGACTGTTAAATGATGCGTCTCTTTCCCTTGTAAGTGAAGCTGAAGAAAAGTTTGGATTTAAGGACATCTCTTCATGACCGCACGGTATTGTTATCATATATTTATGTTGTGACATCAGGAAAATATGTAAGATGTAAACTAAGAACTTGTGTTATCTAGCTAAATCTAACAACAGAGCATGCAAAGAGAAATTATAATATTGCCAGGAAAACATTGTCGTCTTTTTAGAACATGAAACGGGAGTTCTTACACAAAGAGCATAATAGAAAAAACAATCCATTGAGATATATTTCATGCAAGCTGGACCCAGTAATGACGGATTCACCCGGCTATATCAAAGCAGTAGCTGCATGCAAGATGCTATTAGACAAAGGTACAGACATTATTTTGGTCAATTATACAATTGATAGTCTTTAATAGTCCCACATTCTGTGCAGCAATTATTGCAAACAGCCCAACTAAATATTTGTCTAATGCAAGGTTCACAAAATATGAATTTGTATTGTTGTTTATGTACAAAATCTAACAATGAAAAAGGTGTATGATGAAGTCAGACACCCTTTTACCTGTGTAGCAGGAGGCTGGAGACAAAGAAAAACCACGTGTGTTATATTGATGACGTAGGAATCAGCTGCTGTGAGCCCAGTGCAGGACACATTCCTTAAAGACCCAGATATTTGATTTTTTTGTAGATTTGATCCTGGTTTTATACCGAGGATGGCTAGACCCATACTGAATATGCAGTTTATCACCCAGAAGAACACTCTGTATTTAAAGTAATTGGATCCTTTTCCCCAGCTCAAGAAGCAGAGATCCAAGCTTTACCAAAGCCTGTGAGTTATTAAAGAGTATACATTTATGTAGATAGTAGAGAATTAGAGCGCTTTTCGGGGTGGCGTATGATTTTGGTTCCATTTGAAGGGTTAAAAGTTTTTTACTCCGACAGGTAAAGCAATCAAGCATGCAAAGTTAATTTATTGGTTTCTTCAGCCTTCCAGCTTCTTGTTGAGGTAGCCATACTAACATTAAAAGTGCACACATTGGAAGCAGACTAGGTGACTAAAAATGCTGCATTACAGCCCCAGACACTTGCTGGGTCTGTGCAACTCACAGATTCCACCCTAGTTCTGGGATTAATAATTAAACTTTGAGGGTGCCAGAACAAGAACAAGTGGTCCACAGTAGAGGCAACTTATGAAGCAGGACTTTGGAAAAAGGTGATCTTTTAGGTCTGCCAGCTACACTTTTCCCTTCAGCTTGACACATGGATCATGTCAGCAGTCAAATGCAGTTATGGCTGCCTTAGTAAGTGAGCATGGAATAGCACCAGGTTTTATCACAGTTGTTTTTAAATATACCGCTTCTTGTTTTACCTGTTACCAAAGACGTTACCAAAAAAACTGAATATCCCTTCCAGAGATTACAAAAGGATATATCCAGATGCCCAAGAACGAGTATGCACTGGTCTGTATGGACATGTTTTCTGAATGGCCAAAAGTTTGGCCAGTGGAAAAATGCTACTGCAAAGGCCACAGTAAAGAGTGTTATCAAAGGTAGTTTGTAAGTACAGAACCCCAGAAGCTAGACAGAATAACAGAGGAACTCATTTTATAGGAGATTTCTTACAAGACGTTTGAGGCTTTATTCTACAGCCCCTAGCATCCACAATGTAGTTAAAAAAGTAGAGTAACTAAGGGGATGTCTTAAACTAGAAAACTATGGCCTCAATGTATTTATAGGTTTTAATCCCCCAAGGGGATATATGAACTCTCCCTTTGAGATTTTGTTTAGGAGTGTGTTGCTCACTTGCGTATATTTTTCTCAGCAGCTGAAGTCCTCTACTCAGATCTCACAGAGAATGTTGCTGATTTCTTAAGGTTTTTACAGTTTGGAAGAATCTCATAAACTAAAGCCAGGTGACTTGTGGATTGAATATGGAAATGAGGAAATGGTTGGAGACGCAATACAGAGTCTATTTCATGTACAGTTTACAACACTTGAAGGAAAAGTCACCAGGAGCTAGGCCAGACAATGCAAAAAATGAAAGTATCTCTGTGTTTAATTTGGTTTCCTCTTGGAATAACAGTCTGGGGTACTATTTATTCAAATGCTTTCATAAATATATTAGTAAGTGATAAAGGTATATTTAATGTCATTTGAAAAGTTGATCAGCCATGTTGAAGTCATATTGTCTTTTATATGTCTTCCATTTTATGTAGAATTGTCTGTTTAACTATGCTGATAATTCAGCATGTCCACAATTAAGATACAAAGCCATTCTGACCACAAGATCTGAGTGTACAGACAATTACTCTGTAAATATTTCTTATCAATCATTTGCTTTCTATGTAAGTTTTAGTCACAATAAAAGGTCATTTTGCAATGATATAGCTGCTCTCAGCTAATAGATTCTCCCCAGTGGAGTTTTCCTCCTAGGACAGGACTAGTTCCTATAAGGAGGCTCCAGGTGAAAGATCATAGTACGATAGTTGTGGTCTGTGATCAAAATGTAAAATATTGATTAAAATAGCGGAGATGGTAAAGGAAATTTGTAAATTCTGTATAAAATTGTATTCTATTTTGAATGCTTTGCCTATGTATTGTACACTGCACTCATTGAGCACACTGCACTAATAATGTTTCCATTATGTTTGCATTCCTTCAAGTCCTGATTAGAAATTACCCTGCCTATCCAATGACCTTTGTTACCATAAAATTACAATTGTAATATTATTGTGATACCTACGTAATCATGTGTATAAAGAAAAAAAACTTCAAATGCGCAGAATAAACAGTGAAAAAAAGATGCTGAGTGTATTTGTTTGTGTCTTTTCCCTTCTGCAGTAATTATTAATACGGAACCACTAATTAATATGAGGATAGGAGTTGCTTATCTTTAAAATTTTCAGTATTAATGTCCAGAACAATAGGCAAGCAATGCACCGCAAACATGACTGCCTTAAATGTTATGATTTCCCAAACAGGGAATCTCAAACATGACAGACTGGTTCCAGGTCCTCCAGAAAATGTAATTCTCCAATACTCTGTGAATTCATCATTTCGTGTTTTATTTAAAACTGGATTCCAGGCAGATAAAAAAAGACACCAATGAATTCAGCTCTACATTTACTAACAACCATTAACCACTTCCCAACCACCCTAAGCAGATATACTGCTACAGGACGGCAGGGGTGCGCAAAATCACGTATATATATATATGTGATTTTGTTTTTTCCGGGTAGGGGGCACGCGCGCCCTACCCACTCCGCCATTAGGGGCCACGGCTGTCAATCACTGAGTCCCGGCCGGTAAATCCCCGCCGGCGCCCGGTAATTACCGAGCATCTTCGATGGAGAGGAGGACTCTTTGTTTACTAACAGTCCTCCTCCCTGTCCGCTCGGGTACACTGCTCTGGATGGCTGTGCACAGCACAGCCATCCAGAGCAGTGTGATTAAAGTAAAGCCCAAACACACCGCCCCCTATGTAAAACACTCCCTGCACACAACTAACCCTTTGATTGCCCCTCATGTTAACCCCTTCTTGCCCAGTGCCATTAGTACAGTGTTAGTGCTTTATTTTAGCACTGATCACTGTATTGGTGTCACTGGGGATGTCAGTGACACCAAGTCAGTTCCCCTCAGTGTCTGAACGTCTGCCGCAGTCCAGCTATAAGTTGCTGATCTCCGCCATTACTAGTAAAAACAGAAAAAAAATTCCAGTGTCTATACCGCCATTTGTAAACACTATGACTTTCACATAAACAAATTAATTTACACGTATTGGGATTTTTTTTTTTTTTAGCAAAGACATGTAGCAGAATACATTTTGGCCTAAATCTATGACATTTGATTTTTTTGATTTTTTTACTGGACATGTTTAATAGCAAAAAGTAAAAAATATTGTTTTATTCTCAAAATTGTCTCTTTTTTTATAGCGCATAAAATAAATAACGCATAGGCGATCAAATACCACGGAAAGATAGCTCAATAAGTGGGAAGAAAGGACATAAATTTCATTTTGGTGCAGCGTTGCATGACTGCGCAATTGTCAGGTAAAGTAACAACACCGTAACGCAAAAAATGGCCTGGTCAGGAATGGGGGTAAATCCTCAAGAGGGCAAGTGGTTAAATGGAAATATTTTATTGCAATAGTCCCTAAACTTAAGAGAAGTCTGGGTTTGTTTTTTTCCCCCAAATTACACTTACCTAAGTGGATGCAGCATTGGACTGCATCTGTCCCCCACTGGCTCTAAGTGGGAGAATTCAGCGATCACATGACAACTGATTGCTGATTTCTCACCAGGACTGGCTGAGTGACGTCAACCGACAGTGGCCTTCAGCTCGCTGTGAGCTGAAAATGGGTTACAGGGGTGCAGAAAGAACAGCACTCCTGTGATCCACAGGAGAAGTACAGCCAAAACAGCTTTGGCTGTACTTCTCCTTTAACCTGGCATCCATCTGCACATTACTACTCAAACTGGGAGAGGTAGATTCAGCACTGGAAGCCAACCAGATGTATCGCATAAAAAATTTCTGAAAACAGGCAAGCTTGCAGGTGGAGAGATGACCTAATCTGTCTGCTGTTGCTCCTAACTTTCCAATCAACAGACTGGGGACGCCACTGTATTTCTTAACTGTTACAGAGAAAATGGTGCCAGCCTACTGGCTAGGTTGACCTACAGAGCTGTATAAAACACAGGAATGAATAGACAGAGAAGAAAATAATTTGGTAAAACAGGTCCCTTATAGATATTTCATGGTTTGCCTGACGCTCAGCTTTAATAACACTTTTTTCCCCTTTCTTAACTCTTTTCAATCAATTTTCTTAATTCTCCCGGTTTCCATGAATAACCTATACATACAGGAGTTCTCAGGAGTACAAACCACAATGGTTCCTGGAATCACACCAGCCTGCCTGCAGAAGTCAACCAAGATCAGTGAGGGCTAAACATCTCCAATTCCCTGAACAAGCAGAGAAATCTGAGGGTCATATGGAGGTAAAAGCAAAACCCTTGTCTGGCTACAGTACAATAAAATAACTGGAAAAGCCACAAACTTTGCTTGCCAAGCATTTCATTAAAAATTACCCTAATGACATCTTTATACAAAAAAAAAAAAAAAAACACTACCACTGGAATAAAAGGGAACTAAAAGAACTGTATGTTATAGACATTATTCAGTGGTTACCATTTTTGGAGTTAAAATCCGTTGTCTGAACTTGTCGACGGTCTCTTGCCCTGCACTTTCCCAGGCGATGACAAAAGATTGAATTTTACTTGGGTCTAGGTGGATATTCTCCAGCTGCTGACGTAAGACTGAGGCTTTTAAATTATGATGCACGGCCTGAAAAAGAATGTACAATGATTGTGGATGTTTATTTTTGTGTTTGATATGCTCAAACAAATTTGCAATATTTGAAAGCTCAACTCCAGGCACAAATAATTAAATATATTCCTTAATAGTCACACATTTATAGAGTGCACTGTGTGTGCACTGGGCTGCCTGCAGAAAACTAGAAGAGGGGGTGGATACAAGTAACAGAAAGTGAGGGAAAAGCTGGGGAGGCTTTGGGCCATTATTGGTCACATGGCTTGCTAAGACACACCCACAATTTTCCTTTTGACTTGGAAAACAACTGATTAAAGCGCAGCTCCACCCAAAAGAGGAAGTTCCACTTTAAAGACTGATCCCCCCCGCTCCCCATTAAGGATTGGCACCTTTGGGGGGTGGGGGGGGAGAGTGGGTACCCAAATTTGACAGGTACCCGATCCCACTTCTGCTCCGATCGCCTAGGCCAGGGGTAGGCAACCTGAGAGCCGCAGGACTACAAATTCCATCATGCCTCTGCAAGTCATAACTGTAACTGTCAGTTTTGTAATCTTTGCAATGCATCATGGGAAATTTAGTTCCACAACAGCTAGAGAGCCACAGGTTGCCTACCCCTGGCCTAGGCGATTGGAAGTGGAAGGTGTCCTCCCTTCCTCCCTCCCCGTAGTCTTTTGGGACACGTGACAGGTTCCAGAAGACTACAGAAACATTCAGGAAGCACAGCGCTACTCGCGCATGCGCAGTGGGTACCCGGCTGTGAAGCCGCAAGCTGTCACAGCCGGGTGCCCACACTGAAGATGCCGACGCCCAGGGAGAGAAGATGACCAGTAAAACGGGCTGCAGGGGACACCCGCGGGACCGAGGGACAGGTGAGTGTGTGTGTTTTTTAAAAGTCGGCCGCTACAATTTTTGTAGCTTTTGTGTAGACTTTTATTTTTTGACAGTGTGAGTGGAACTCTGCTTTAAGGTGTACTTCTGGTGAGGATGTTATTGTCTTGAGTGCTGAGACTTTCCAAGAAGTTGGGAATTTTTACCAATATAGCCAATCCCTACCTATTACACTTATGGCGGGTCAACATGCGTTGTGTTGAGTGTGCCCGAACATCTTGTCAGTAGGTCAAAAAAGCCCGCAAGACAATACATGCATGCTGAAAATACATCTGTTTCAATATGCCGAGAGGCAGGTTTGTTTATTTTGGCCACATTTGCACATTGGAGTGCCAATGAACTAAATGGCAATGCATTACAAACAAAAACTGTATGGAAAATTCAAATGCGGCATTATACAGCTCATTGCTTTCATTTGAATGAAGTGCCTAAAGCATAAAAAAGGTTATTTTTTTGTAACGCAGCTCATCATAATGCATAGTGGTGCACAGGTGTGCTGGTAAGATGTGTTGGGGTTCTATAAAGAATGAATGGTACTACAGAGCACCAACACTGGTGCACAACAGTGTGAACCCATGCATAAAGTGATTGTAAACCCATATTTTTTTTTTTAAATAACAAACATGTTACACTTACCAGCTCCTGGGTTCTCTTCCCCACCGAGTGCTCCTATAACAAGCTGCCTGCTATGGGGGAACTTGTGTGTCCACTGACATACAGAGCGTGGCTCAGACCCGCCCCGCTCCCTCCTCACTGGCTGTGACTGGCAGCAGCAGGAGAAAAGGACTCTCACTGCTGTCTCTGAGCCTATGAGGCGGAGAGAGAGCCACTGCTCTAGTGCACAACACTATATCGAGATGAGCCGTACTCAGAAAAGAATGCATTAAGGTAAAAAAAAAAGCCTTCAGTCTTTAGAACCACTTAAACAAGGAATAGAACTAATGACACAGCAACCAATCAAGTTCTAGCTGTCATTTGTCAGTGCAAACTACAAAATGAAAAAGCTAAAACATTGCTTTCCTCATAATTTAAATTGTTACTAAACCCACAACAGTAAAATCAGTCTGTATATGCAGTAAAGGGTGCTTGTTATACTCACTGTGGAACCTAAGGGGTTAATCCTATGCATTGTATAAAAATGCTGTTTGATCCTGACTTTTCTGATCCTCCCCTTCTTCCAGTGTCTCCCTCTCTGATAAGACATATCATTTGGAGACACGGCACATGCTTAAGTTGGTGTGCATTGCTAGAGAGATTTTTTTTTTCTTGGGAGAGTGCATGTGATCAGCACAGGGCCAAACAGCACTGCCCAGACAGAGGTCAGGGGTTCTGCATCCTCCTAGAGAAAACTCCTCCTACAAGCTTTAACCAGTGCTTTGCTGGACACTGATAGAAGTCACAATAATGCTATATACTGCTAAAGGTATTTAGCAGTTTATATTTACTAAAATAATTGCATTTCCGAGTTCTGTGTACTGTGGGAGACCAGATGAGCAGATAGTGAATGCAAGGTCCTGGGTTTAGTTACACTTTAATACACCAGCTCATGTGAGCACAGTTAGAATTGTTAGGCTATGACATATTTACAGGAATGAATAATGCATTCAGCATTTTTCAGATTACTATTCACATGATTTTAATATTTAATGGAACTGTAAAATATTTACTCATCAGGCAGTTACCATCTCCCTTTATGCTGTAACCCATTAAAGTCTTCTGTGCTTAATCGCAGAATAATAAAGCATAAAAAAACAAGAAATCTAAAGTTAACCAAAACAAGTCCAGAAGTCCTAAAGCACAAACAAAAACAAAAAACAAAAAAAACAAAACGATCTACCGCTGTGCTCTCTATAACAATGAAATAATGACAAAACAAGTGACAGGCAAACTGACAGATCACAAAGACTGAAATCTCTTATATAGCATTGTTTGGAGAACCATAAAATCCCAACTGCAGCAGGAAATTGAACAGCATTCACTTTTTATTTTAACAGAAAAGTTTGTATTAAAACGTAATATATGTAAAAATATAGCCGGTACAAAATCCAAGAACAAAACACAAGAAATACAGTAAAGGAAGAGGATCAAATGGAATCCAACCATGCAAGCCAGATTTTATCATATTTGGCTGGCCAGTCTTTACACATATATACTGCTCAAACAAATGAAAGGAACACTTTGAAAACCCATCATATCTCAATGGGGAAAAATATGATGCTGGATATCTATACTGATGTAGACTGGGTAATGTGTTAGAAAAGTAAGGAAGCCCCATACTTTGATGGAAATGAAATTATCAACCTACAGAGGCTTGAATTCAAAGACACCATGAAAAGCAAAGTGAAAAAATTATGCAGCAGGCTAGTCCATTTCGCTGAAATTTCATTGCAGCAACTCAAAAATTGGTACTCAGTAGTTTGCATAGCCCCCACGTGCTTGTATGCATGCCTGACAACGTCGGGGC